CATGATGTTAAAGAATTTTTACTTGCAATATCTGTTTAGAAAGCTAATCCATTGATAAATCCCAACCACAGTCAACCTTCTATATTTTCCTGCCACAGCCATGTATATTTATCCCAAGTTTTTTCACACCCATAAGGGCAACTTTCCAATCAAGCAAAGTATAGGCAACATACAACAAAGAGGAAGTATAGCCAGTGTCACTAGGAGAACACAGTGTAAACATACATGTAATATGTAATATATTTATTTCTGAGAAAACTTGTGGCAAGCCTAAACTAAGAGGTACATGAAACAAACAAAGGTTCAAAAATACAAACATAATGCAAGACAGTCAATCTAATCAGTGGCAGGGACAACAGCAGAGGTCTTCCCTTCCATCCTCCACCCCCTAACTTGCACATACCATGAAGGCAACTTCTAAGTTCACTGAAAAGGCTCTTCACCCTTCACAAAACTTATCTAGCATAGGAGACCCGAATGTATTTTATGTATTTTCCACTGATTTTAATATTAAGTAGGTTTAACCTCAGAGGTTTTTTTTTTTTGGTAGCAAAAAAAATAACAGCGTCTCCATAGTAACTTTTTAATTAGCCTCAATTACTGTGGCTCTTTGGAAAAAATACCGGTAATACTTAGAAAGTAAGTCAGAGCTCACACAAACACAAAGTTAAGACAATGTATATATGTTCTTCAAACCGCAAATCCAGATGGTCAGCTTAACCACTGGATTCACTGAATCAACACTGGATCACTGAATTCAACAGAAAGCATGTATCTTTGGACTGACATAGGTACTAATCCTGCAGAGTCAGGCACAATAGCTTTCCCACCCCACCCCAAGTAGGACCTTTCATTGCTATTACATCTAACGGTATCAGCAAACATTGTAGAGTAGCATTACATACAGTGTTACAAAACATTTCATTACTTAAAAAATGCTGACTTGTCTTTGTAATTTTCCAAACCTCTGAACTATTTTGATTTCAATTGTTCAAAGATAAAACTAGAGAGTAACGTTTTTTTTCCTTCACTGAGGAACAGGCCTTTAAACAAAAACCAACAAAACAACAACTGCATGGTACCACACAGTTAACCCTAGCAATGGCACAATTCCATTGCAGAACAAGACAATCAAAGCCCAGACTGCTACAATTTCGGTCTCCCCTTCTCCCCAGCCAGAAGCTCCTATAGCCTTTCCTGAGTCAATTCTGGCACTCATACAATTGCCCACTAAGCCAACACCAGGAGCTCATTTATTTGTAAGCTCACATGGCAAAAAAAAGAAAAGCCATCGGTTTTCATATGTAAACTCTGGGCAAGCTCAAAGACAACTTCCAGTGCCAGCTTCCACTCATAAGAAGAGGTCAGATGTAAAACAACCACGATGGGGGGCATGCATGCACTCTTATATTAGGACTTGCTTTAAAAATAAAACATGACAAATACAATAAATGAGTAATCATGTCAGATACCCTTTCCTTCCTCCTGGACACTTGCTCTGTCCCACCAAATAAGATTACTTCAGCAGAGTGGCAGTTAGACATGATACCACTAATAGCTGGATCTCCTCTGCATGATCAAGTGACACACAGTAACGAAATTACTCTCAGACTGTGAGCAACCAAACTTCAGTACATTTTATGCTGCCCACTGACATATTAGGAAATTTCAAATCCATACATGGAAACAAACTATTTTAACACAATCTGTGAACTGCATCATTGCCCCACCAATAACATATCATTTAAATTCTTCACAATGTTAAAAAAGCCCTACAAAATAATGAAATTCTCTGGTCAATTCAAGCTTCAGGGGAAAGGAGATGGCAGCAGGACAGGGTTTTAACCTCTCTCACTATCTCTTTATACCCATCTGATGTTTACCTACCCAGGTAGGTAGGTAAATAGAGGGAAGGAAGAAAAAGGGAAGGAGGAAGAGAGGACTCCAGGGCCAAAACAAGTCCCTAACTGATTAAATCCCATGGATAGGCTGGAGCTCAAAGTGACACCAAGACCTCTGCCTTCTCCCAGAATATGGGATCCATTACCCCAGCACAGTCCTCTCATCACCACCACTCCCCAGTGGTGCCATACATGCAACTCTCTTGCTTTAACATACATTTGGGGAAGAACATGCACCACTCTAGCTTAGAGGAGGGAAAAAAATGCAGTTTGCCTCCATCCCCTCACATTTTATTTCTGAAGTAGGCATGCAAATAACACCATCTTGACTCTGGTAAAAGATATGGAGGCAAAGAAACATTCAACCTACATCAGGCAGTGCAAGACTAGCATTAGTACCCGATAAATTCAATTTCAATTTCACTTGAAATCACAAATGACATTTTACTTGCTACTATTTTTGAGGCAGACAAGAAATGTTACTCATGCTTTGGTGGAGTGAGTCTGAGTGTCTGCAGGAAGAAATATGCCAGAATATTGCCAGCCAGTAGAATAGCAGTAAGGCCAAAAAAAAAAAAATCAGATACTATACTTTTTCTTTGCATTTAGCTATAAACAAAAATAAATACCTTAACATGCAGAACAGTTATGTTCTCTGCAAAGCCACAGAAACATTTAGTGTGTGAAATTACTCTTCTCACATTACAGCTTTGAGAAGAAGGCAGACAAGTTCACCAACTATTGCAGATAAACTTTAGAGGTTACCTAAGAAAAACCACTCAGGTGGTACCATAGCACCACCTGTAGTCTAAGGAAAGCCCTACAGTGAATTTGGCCATTATGACAACCACACAGAATCACCAATACCTATAGCCTAGTTTCCTTGTATTGGGAAATCATGCTGTTTGTGTGTCTTCTAACAATCTGATTTAATTAACCACTATTGGCCAAATATAATAAAGAAGTCTTAATTTGTTCCCACAAATCCTGTGAAAACAGGTGGATAAATAACAGAAAAGGATCTTGTAAATGCTGAACTGGGAAAGCAGTACACAAGTTCACATCTTTTTGGACACCAGAAAAATTTTATTCCTGAGAACTCTTGCAAACAGCCCTACTGCAGAAAAAACTTCAGGCAAAGCACATCCCTCTGATTTTGCCAAAGACAAATCAACCACAAGAGACTAAACCACATGAAACAAGAAGTCATTACTTCCAGTGCTTATGGAACTATTTATTTTTTCAGTGATCTCACTGGCCTGGCAAGGCACAGGGTGGGGTGCCGATGCTCTTGTGGAGCCTGGCTGAGCGGATCCTGCGGCACTCACATCAGGTCTCAGTTCCAAGGAGGTTTTAAACTAGGACAAGTTACCTCGTTATAAAACACGAGTGAAAACATTGTTTTCCTTCTCTTTCTAAGTGAGTAACCTCTTCTAAGAGTATAACGATCAAACCTCTTCACCAGGCTGAATGAACTGATCTTTAAAGACCATAAGCTGGTTCTTTCCTCAACAGTCACTACCTTGTTTGTTTCTTGCTATGTCTGATGAGAGGGCATGAAGTCCAAAAGTATTCAAAACACCCTCCAATATCACACCTGAATTACATACATACCTATACAGTGGGATCCAGTATGACTTACTTAAAATTCAGACGTATTTTTTTCTGAGTAATTTAGTAAGCTATTCTTTAATTTGTTAAAAACCACAGCAGATTTATCACAAGACATGCAGCACTAGAAGTCACATCACAGAACAGCAATCATGCTCTACAGAACCACTCTTGCTAGCAGCTGACGAGGTGATCTAACTGGAGCTGGCTGGTCTGCTTAGAGGGAGGAAGGCACAGGTCGCAACTCAAGTTTAAGAATTCAGCATGCTCAGTTCAGTATTTTTGTGCAAAGACTGTACCTTGACTCAGAGCTCAAATCAATGCCAGTGAACACAAAGACTCAGTTTCACCAGTGAAAGCCTTATTGTACAACAATGCACTAGATATATAGGGTCTGAACTAAAGCAACTACATCAGCTTAGTCATACTGGTATCAAATTTTCTCATCCAGACAACACCAGACGTATATGATCATAGCAGGAACCCTCTGGTATTAAAACCAGTTATAATTTTAACACTTTACTGACATAGCATGTAATGCTCATGTGCTATTTACTTTTATGAACTAACCAAAGAGTAATTAAATCTGCAAACCTATAAAATGCACTGCTGGCAAACCTAAATCAGATTATAGTATTGGTTATTACACAGAATTGTTGGTTCCTAAATACTGTTCAACCGGAGTTGGGAAACAGTAATCAAAGATAATTTCTTGTTTGCTACCAAGAACTGCAGATTCTCTCCCCCACAGCCACTGAAAACCACCCTAACCTTAATTAGGCATACACCGAAAAAGCGAAAGCTAGAAGTGTGACAGCTGAAGTTACTATTTGCCAAGGACAGTTTAAACCCAGTGCTTACGAGGAAAACTGGAAGTGCATAGTTTTCACATCAGTCTATTTACAGGCTGCTCCCATCCTCAATTTTAGTGACCAAAATGCTTCTCATCAATTTTATCCTAGGAATTTAGAAGGGGCTGTAGCCAGGATGCATAAATCAGGAATACTGGGAAAGTTGCAAGAGCACTATGGTAAAAAAAAAAAATACAACCAACCAAAACACCTTGACAGCTCTGAAATGCAACAAAAATTAAATAATCAAGAATGTTTCCAACAAGTAGCTACTGTATGTTACACCAGGGTGCATTTCAACCCGAATCTGAAAAGACAGAATACAGAATTTCTTCAATTTGCATAGGTAGATGACAACAGGATTTTTTTTTTTTTTTTTTAACTAAGTCAAAGTGTTGGCAATGTATCTACAATTCCAGCTCAGTCATGAAAACTGAGATAAATCTTCTAGATTTTCAAAGGCCTGCAAACAAAAATAGAGGGGGGGAAAATTGAGGTGTGAAATTTGAAGCAAAAGGTCTGGTAACCATCACTGTTGATAAAGGCCATGAGCCTCTGGAAAAATACAGTC